TCCCTATCACCACAGAGCACCAAAGACAGTGTTTCTGACACTTGTATTTTATATACCTTGATACAAGCAGAAGTAAGAGAAACCCACACAGGGCTGGAGTAGGAAGGAAAGTCCTGAGAGTGTGGCCTGCAGCTGGTTTGCAGTGCAGTCACCATTTGGTGGCTTTTATTTTTGTGGTATAAGGTGGTTAGGCCTCCTCAGGCTACCCACCTTCCAAGTGAGAAATGGGGGAGGGGTATTCAAACTTCACCACCTCTCTTCCTTTTAGATAGGTTTTGTGACAAGGTCTCGTATATCCCAAAGATTGCTCTGTACTCTCTCCAAGTTCGGGGCTTACTGAATGCACCACCACACCCTGTTTACCCCCCATGAGGGCTAGATGAGTACTTCACCAGCCAGCTGCACCCACAGCAGTTTTGTAACTGAGGCTGGTTCTCACTTGGTAGTCCAGGCTGGCCTCAATCTCCAGATCCTCCCTGCCTCTGTCTCCTGGGTATGGAAATTACAAGTGTCAGGTACTCCACTCAGCTAGCTCGCTCTCTCTATCTCCCTCCCTCCCTCCCTCCCTCCCTCTCTCCCTCCCTCCCTCCCTCCCTCCCTCTCTCTCTCTCTCTCTCTCTCTCTCTCTCTCTGTCTCCCCTGCCTTCCATCCATTCCATTCATTCTCCTTCCTTCCTTCCTGCCTTCCTTCCTGCCTTTCTTTCTTTCTTTCTTTCTTTCTAGTTTTATTTATTATGTATACAATGTTCTGGCATGTAGATGATTGTGAGGCACCATGTGGGCACTGGGAAATTGAACTCAGGACCCCTGAAAGAGCGACCAGTGCTCGTAACTTCTGAGTCATCTCCAGCTCCCACTCAGCTTCCTTTCTCTTCTTTTTGCTTTTAAAAAAATTTGGTTCTGGGGGGACGGACAGGAGCACATGGAGGACAGGGGACGAGGCAGGCAAGATGGCTCAGCTGGTAAAGGTGACTGCCTCCAAGCCTGACAACCAGAGTTCAAGCCCCAGGGCCCACAAGGTAGAGAAAAACCAAATCCTGCAAGTTGTCCTCTGACAGAACAGGCCAGGACATGATTGTACCTCCTCATCCTTCTCACCTGCACACATAAAATGAAACAAATAAATGTAACAGAAATGTTTACATTCAGTACGGGGGAGGGGTGGGGTGGGGAGGACAGGGGGCGATAAACTCAGGGACTTGCACATTCCAGGCAAACTGTCTCTCGATCACTTGGAACAAGGAGGAGACGCTGGTGTTGGGTGACCTTGTCTGACTCCACTTTAGATAAACTGGGTGCAGCTGAAATGAGCTTATCAACCACCCCCCTACTGCATTGCTGGCCAAACCCAGATATTGCTCATGTCCATAAGTGACCTGGAAACCACACCCTCAGCCCCTCACTGGGGATTCTAGGCAGGGGCTCTACCCTTACTCGCTGCCTCCTAACACGTACACAATTTCCCCAGAGACTGGCTGTCCTTAGGAGCCCTTGGCTTCCATCGTCTTGCTTAGATCCAGGCTCCGTGGCTTCCTTGATACTTGCAGCTCACTTGTTAGCTAACACACATGATAGCTGGGCTTGACCAGGAGAGCAGGGGAGACTGGGTGAGCTTATCTCAGTTTTATCTGGTTTACCTAGTATGGAGTCAGACCAGGTCACAGGGCACCGGCCTCTTTTCCTTGTTCCATCTGTATGTCTGTCTTCTCTGCTCACCCTTCACTATGGTCCTGAGTTGGGGCTCTGCCACTTGCAAGAAGCAGATTGGAGATGGGACCTGTGTCTTTGGGAGGTGGAGAGTCTACTACAGCTTCCCTGCTCTGTTTCTGCCTCGGTTACAGTAAATATCTCACAAACTCACTGTCTATGTGTGAATACACTTTCGTGTGTGTGTGTGTGTGTGTGTGTGTGTGTGTGTGTGTGTGTGTGTGTGTGTGTGTGAAGGGTAGAGGTCAAGGTCAGGTGCCACTCCTCAGGAGATGCCCACCTCATTTTATGAAACAGGGTCTCACTGAATAGGCTAGGCTAGCTGGCCAGTAAATGCCAGGGATTTACCAGTCTCCATGTTCTGGTGAAATGTGAACAAAATGCACTCTTTTCTGTTAAAGGATTAAATAAGGTGAAACTCCATAAAAAGTAGAATAAAAAAGCTGCTTGGCAAAAAATTCAAACTCCTCCAGAGTCAACGTTTCTTGAAATCAAAACACATGCTCAGGGTTTCTCCCTCTTTTCAAACATCGTGCTTTGTTGATTGGCTGTGCTGAACCAGCGAGCTTTTTTAGAGTGTAAAGCTGAGTCCTGGGAACTCAGGACAAGGCACAGCACCCCCTTTGCTCTAGGAATAAGAATCCGGCTGATAACCAGGACACAGTGGTGCACACCTTTTATTCCAGCAGAGACAGGCTGCTTTCAAGACTAGCCTGGTCTACAGAGTGAGTTCCAGAACAGCTAGAGCTTCATGGAGAAACCCTGTCTCAAAAATCAAAACAACCCAATCGAGCCCAACATGGTGGGGTCTGAGCACAGCCAGGGCTACATAATAGAGAGACCCTGTCACAAAACCTATGGGACCCCCACCGTGCTTGCTTGGTTTAGCACGGCTCTGCAGCCTTCTACAGAAAAACGTCTGGAGGCCAGCAAGGTGGCTCACTTGTCAGAAGCGCATGCTGCTCTTGCTGAGGACCCAAGTTTAGTTCCCTGAACTCTCTCTGGGAGGCTCACAAGAGCCTGTGGGTACAGCTCGAGGGGACCTGACTCTTGACCTCTTTTTCGTACTCATGTGCACATGACCACAGACAGATACACATGAATAAAGATAAATTTAAAGAAATCTGGGGCCTGGGGAGATATACTTTGTTCACTGATCCCGGAGCCCACGCGGTGGGAGGATAAAACAAACTCTCAAAAGTTGTTCTTTAACCTCCACACGAGTCCTCCCTCCTCCCCCAAAAGTCTGAAAAATTGAGGAAACAAAAAGATGGGGCTAGTGTGATAGTTCAGAGGTTAAGATAAGTGGCTGCCCTTCCAGAAGACCTGGGCTTCTTTCCCGGTACCCACAAGCCATCTCAAACCATAATTCCAGTTCCAAGGGACTGATGCCTTTTTTGGCCTCCAGGGGCACTGCACACAGGTAGTATATAGTCATACGTGCAGGCGAAACACCCATACACATAAAATAGTACTTTTGACAAAAAAGAAAAGAAAAGAAACAAACACAGATTCATTCACAACATCTCACGTTCCAGACATCAGCACGCCACGCATAGCGAGTTGCTTCTCCTGTGGCCTCAAGGGTGATGGAGCCTGGCTTCTTGACTCTGCCGGCCGTTAAGAGAGAACGTTTATGTTATCGAGCTTTCCATGGCAACATACCTGAGACAAACACCTCAGAAGGAGGAAGGTTTTATTTAGGTTTGGGGGTTTAGAGGTTTCGACTCATCTTGCCTTTGGGTCTGTGGTGAGTTAGCACATCATGGCGGGTGTGGGAGGTGGAAGAGGCTGCTCAAACCATGGTGTCCAGGAAGTAAACGGGTAGGAAAGGATGAGGCTCTGACCTTCTTCAAGGGCTTATCCACCGGGATCTGCCTCTCCAAGGTCTGGCAGCTCTCGAGATCAGTGCCAGCCTGGGTCAGCCCCTTGACATAGGAGCCTTTCGGAGACACTTAATATCCAAACTATAAGAATATCACTAGCTTAGGAAGAGACCAAAATTCAACATTTGAGGTGTGGTTTTCATTGAATGTACATTGTTTTTACAGCAGTTAAAAGATTCCAAGTTGGCTGGGCGGTGGTGGCACACGCCTTTAATTCCAGCACTCGGGAGGCAGAGGCAGGCAGATCTCTGTGAGTTCAAGGCTGGGCTGGACCGACAGCCTCCAAAACAATACAGAGAAACCTTGTCTCGTAAAAAAACAAAACAAAAAAAAAAAGATTCCAAGTTGAATACTGTGCGTTGGGGACTAAGCCATGTACTCTAGATTTAGGGTAGAGTTGTAATTGGGAGACTGCTGTGCTCCTGTCACACAGCAAGTTTGGTTAGCTAACAGTATTGACTTGATAAGATCTAGAGTCTCCTAGGAGATAAGCCTCTGGGAATCTGCAAGGGAGTTAGTTGAGGTAGAAGACGCACCCTGAATGTGGGCAGCACCAGCCCATAAGCTGGGATCACGATCTGACTAAGAGGGAGCCACCAAAGTGCAGTGTTCATCTCTGCTTCCTGACTGGTTGCAGTGGGACCAGCCACCTCAAGATGCTGCTTTCCACTGTGATAGGCTGGACCCCGGACTGTGGGAGATAATGAGCCCTTTCTCCCTTAAGTTGCATTTGCCAGGTGCTCGGCCACAGGCATAGACAGTTACTATTTGTTAAGAAAATGCAAGGTCGCCGGGCGTTGGTGGCGCACGCCTTTAATCCCAGCACTCGGGAGGCAGAGGCAGGTGGATCTCTGTGAGTTCGAGGCCAGCCTGGTCTACAGAGCGAGTTCCAGGACAGCTTCCAAGACAATACAGAGAAACCCTGTCTTGAAAAAAAAAACCAAAAAAGAAAAAAAAAAAAAAGAAAATGCAAGGTCACCAAAGGACCCATGCAAGTGCATTGTCCTGGAGGAGAAGCCACTGTGGTGTCACCAGAGGTCCGTATATTTGAATGTTTGGTCCTCAGTTGGTAGAAATGTGTGGGAAGAATTAGGAGGGACAGTCTGGTTGGGAATGGTGTGTCTCTGGGTGGGGCCTGAGGTTTTAAACGCCTGTGCCACCCCCAGTTAGCTTTCTGTTTGTCTTGTGGTCGTATCTCAAGATATGCGCTCTCAGTTACTGCTTCAGCATCTTACCTCCCTACCTGCTGCAGTGCAGTAAGGGTCATGGACTCTAACCCTTTGAACTGAAAGCCCATATAAACTCTTCCTTCTGTAAGTGTTGGCTTCTTAGCAGGCAATCGAAACGTATCTAAGACAGACACTTGCCCACAGCTGCATGGCACAGGAGGAGACAATACCAAGGAGGTTCTTCCCATGGGTTTTATTTCTGGGTCTAATTATGGCTGCAGAAAAGGCTCAACTCTGGATTTGTGGATGGATCCATTGAGGATGATGGGTTTGAACCCCACCCTTGTCATTCCAGGAAGTGCCCCTAGGGTCTGGCTATAGAAACAGCCAGTCCACCATTTGAGATGAGGATCTTGATGCCAGGAGACGTAGATCTTGGTCTGGGGAGACTGGAAACTGTCTGCAGCATCCGCATTGCAGTGGGTGATGCTGGTGTGGATCATGAGTTGGATTTGATGGTGTCATCAATCCACTTAGAGAACTCACAAAGGTTGGTGTAGACACCTGGCCTGTTCCGCTGGGCACAGGGGAAGTCACCCCAGGACACAAGGCCCTGCAGCTGGCCGTTGCAGATCACAGGTCCCCCGGAATCACCCTGTTGGGAAAAGAAAGGAGGCAGACATGTGGTGAGGTAGAACGAGAAGGAACAAGATACCCAGCACCACGTGTAGGTGCAGAAGGGCGGGGACACAGAAAGCAGGTACAAGCAAGGGGGAGAGGACAGACAGCATTCAACGCAGGTAAAGCAGACAGAGGCAGAGAGAAAGGACGCTGTCAGTACGTCAGTCCAGTTCAGACTGTATGTTGGTGGCCCACCCGCCAGGCTCTAGCCAACACCCTAACCTCCTCCCAGCTTCTGCTAGCTTCCTCATCCGCTTTCTCCTCACCAGATTTCTAGTTTGTCTCCTCTCCCTCCCGTCTCCTCCTCTGCCTGCCTGTCTGTCTGTCTCTGCTTCCTCCCTTCCCTCTTTTTTCTCCCGCTTTCCCTCATCCCTCCTCTCCCCTGCTTTCCTTGTCTCTTTCCTCCCTCTGTTCATGTTTTGCTGTTGTTGTTTGTTTTCAGACAGGATCAGACTGGGCTGAGCTTGTGATCCTCCTGCCTCAGTCTTCTAAATGACTGGGATGATAGTCCTATGCTACGAGGCCCAGACGCCGTCTCCATGATTTTCCTTTAAACCTTTTCACTGAGTTCTGAGTCCATTAGTCAGCTTCTCTGGACCTGCACGTGAGGCTCACGATAGCTGCTGCTTGTGCTAATGAGTGCATGCCTGTAAATCCGGTGACACAGAGCCAGTGGTTGTTTATTATTGTTGTTGTTGTTGCGTGCGTGTGTGCGCACACGCGTGTGTGTGTGTGTGTGTGTGTGTGTGTGTACAGGTGGAGGTCAGACATCCTTCCTCAGGCACTGTCCATCTTGTTTTTGAGGCAGTCTTTCACTGGCCTGGAGCTTATTGATTGGCCAGCAAGGCTCAGGGATCCCCCTCAGGATGCCTCAGCTAGTAAACCGTTGTTTCCCCCGACACAGCCGTGCCAGGAAACAGTGATTCCTTTCCATTCTTCGAATGAGCCAAATTCCCACGTTGCTGCCTTTGCACAGGTCTTTTCTGCGCCCTTAGCCTGTATGAGTCTGGCTCCAGGGTGTCTGATAGGTCCTGCTTATACAGATCCTGTCTAAGGAAGCCCTCCCCATGACACCATGAAGACTGGTCCTTGCATTGTCTGTGGTGATGGATTATTTCTTTTATTTATCGTGCAACATTGTCTTTTCTAGTGACTCCACACAACCTTCTGAAATAGCACTGCTTGTAACGTTTCTTGACCAAGGGAGCTCTTTTTAAGTTGTTACTTTACATTTTTTTTTTTTTGGTTTTTCAAGACAGGGTTTCTCTGTATTGTTTTGGAGGCTATCGGTCCAGCCCGGCCTCGAACTCACAGAGATCCGCCTGCCTCTGCCTCCCGAGTGCTGGGATTAAAGGTGTGCGCCACCACCGCCCGGCTTGTTACTGTACATTTTTTAAAAGGCTTATTTTTATTACGTAAAATCAGACACTTACCCATCACATGCTTGAAGACAGAACTTTGATAGCCATTATGTAAAGGGGACCTCCCCCTGAGGTGTAACACCTTTTGCAGGGCACAACCTATTTGGCCACAAGGAACAGCCTTGATCTCTCCTTCCAGACCTGAATTGTGATATGGGAATTGAAGTATGTCTGGAAAACTGAAATGGGTTTCCAGGGTAAAAGGCATTGTGTTTTGGCTGCCTGTGTGTAAATGGTATGCTTATAATTATTATATGTTAACTAAATTCTGACAAGTGTCACTTGAGAATATAGAGACATCACATATTAATTAATTAAATACAATATGCTATTAATATTAATTCCACCTCCTTAGTTACTTACTGCTTTGTGAGTCAAGAGACGGAACTCAAGCCTTGTAGCATTCTATATAAGTACTCTACCTCTGAGCCATGCCAAGAGGCCCCTCACTGGCTGGGTCTAGGCAGGGGCTCTACACTGAACCATACCCCTAGCTTCATTTTCACTTTTAATTTTGAGATAGGGTCTCACTGTGTTACTCGGGTAAACCTTGAACTTACTGTGTAACCTATGCTGGCTCTTGGATTTTATTCTTCCCAACTCAGCCTCCCACCTATCTGAGATGACAAGTCGTGGCCTGTTTCCTTTTATTTTTAATTTTTTTTCCTATATGAAAACCGAAAATCGAATGTGGAGGCTCAAACCGTGTGTCCATCGGAGAACAGCGAGCATGAGCTCTGTGAAAATAAGGGTCTTGGTACTTAATAGAGCTCAGGGGATCTGTATGGCGCTTGATGGGCTGGTGAGGTGGCTCAGTGGTAAAGGTGTGAGCTGCTAAGCCTGACAGCCTGAGTTCAGTCCTGGGGACCCACAGACCTCCATGTGTTGTCCTCTGACACTCATGCACACATTGTGACGCACGTGCTCACACAAATGTAAAAACACATAAACAGCACTCAGCGATTTTTCTGGATCAATGGAGCTGCATCCAGTTCTTACCTGGCAGGAGTCCCTACCCTCTTCATCACCAGCGCAGAACATGCTCTTGTCTATCTGTCCGGGGTAGGAGTTTTTACACCTCTCCTCACTCAGCACAGTGATATTCAGGCACTGGAGGACTTTGGGGAAGTTATCTGTCAAACAAGAGCATCGTGAGGGGCAGAGGGTGAGAGACAGCACAGCTGGGCATGGTGGGGCAAGCCTGCTACCCAAGCCCGAGTGACAGGACAGTCTGGGCTATGTGGCAAGAGTTGGCGAGAAACGCGGGGATTAGGAGAAGCCAGCATACTCACTGTGGCTGCTGCTCGTCGTCCCCCAGCCAGACACCATGCACCTGGTCCCCTGGACAGGACAGTTAGAAGCAATTTTGACGGGCTTCACTGAGTGAGAGTCACGGATTTTTCTGTTCATTTTGATGAGCATGAGGTCATTGGAGTGGCCAGGGTGGGAGTAACCAGGATGGGGGATAGATTTGATTCCCTGGAACATCTGCTGCCCAGACTCGTAGACAGGTGACGTGGAATGGTGGCCCAGACGGATTCTGTACACTCTGAGGAACATGGCAATGATTATTGCCAGCCCAGAACTCTGACCACCTGTCCAAGGCAGTCTCAATCCCTGCTCTAACCCATCCTTAACCCAACATCATCCATCTTCAACTCAACTTGATCCCATCGCCAACCTTCCTCCCTCTTATCCTCATCCACAACTCAATCCTGTCTTCAGCCCAACTATTAACCCCAACTCTACCCATTTTGAACACAGTTCTGTACCATCATCAACCCTAACTCCATCAGTCTCTACCCTGTGTGCACCCCCATCCCCAGCTCCTATCTGCATTCATCTTTCACGTTAACTGCAACCTGAGTATGTGCCCTCCAGCAACCAGCAGCTTGAGCATTCTCAGTCCCAAGTCTGTGTCTTGGGGTTGTCTATCTATAATCAAATTTTATGCCCTGCACTCAATGTAACCAGCTTAGCAGGACTTGGAAACACAGATCTTAGAAGATGAAGGCAGGAGGATCAGGTGTTCAAGGTGTTTTTGGCTACATAGATGGTTTGAGGCAACCCTGGTCTACATGAGATCATTTCTCAAAAACAGCAAAGTAACGATAAGACAATAAATCAACCCCAAAGTGTTTAACCATCCCTCACTCCATAAACAAACCCAGCTACACCTTCTGTCTTACACCCATCCCTGGCCCTAACTCTGTCAACTGTCTTTCTCTCTACCCACCACACTTCCCCTAACCTCCACTCTAGATCTAACCCTAATTCCATCTTACCCTAAACCATCAATGCATGTGTGCCCAACCCCAACAGTACTCTTTCCCCAGCCCAAAACCATGCACATGTATGTCTCAAACCACACCCAACTCTCTCCATCTCCAAATCCAACCAGGTTCAACCACTTTCCTGACTCTAACCCCAATCCATTCTCCAATCCAAGCCCTATACCCAACCCCTTCTTAATCTCATCTCTGTCTTCATAGGTTCTAATCCCACCTCCATTCCAAACCACTCCACATGTCTGTCTCTATATTATCTTTATAGCCTGTGTCTCTCTCCTTACCTCTATTGCAATCTCTTTCTTATCTATCTCCTTTTAGCTCCAGATTTCACCTATCCCTGCCTCCCATGCCTAGATCAGCCCTCTTACCAGTGATGACCTCATCCTCATGCTATTGTCTCCGTCTTTCAATCTTTCCATCCATCCATCCTTCCAACCTCCTTCCAAACTCCCATCCATCCACAAATCTACCCTTCCATGAATCAATACATCCTTCCTTCCTATTTTCCTTCCTTCCTATCTTCCTTCCATCCTTCCTTCCTCCCTATCTTCCTTCCTTCTTCCCTATCTTCCTTCCTTCCTTCCTTCCTTCCTCCCTTCCTTCCTATCTTCCTATCTTCCTTCCTTCCTTCCTCCCTTCCTTCCTCCCTTCCTTCCTTCCTCCCTTCCTTCCTTCCTCCCTTCCTTCCTTCCTCCCTCCCTTCCTTCCTCCCTTCCTTCTTTCCTTCCTATCTTCCTTCCTTCCTCCCTTCCCTTCCTTCCTCCCTTCCTTCCTTCCTCCCTATCTTCCTTCCTTCCTACCTACCTTCCTTCCTATCTTCCTATCTTCCTTCCTTCTTTCCTTCCTTCCTTCCTTCCTTCCTTCCTTCCTCCCTCCCTCCCTTCCTTCCTTTCTTCCTCCCTCCCTCCCTTCCTTCCTTCTACCCATCTTCCTTCTTCCATCTTTCCATCCATGAACTTATCCACTCTTTCTCCCTTCTTCCCAGTCCCCTCCTGGGATCTCTCTTCTGCTCCTGTCCCCAGCTTTGTCCCATGCCCTCTACTAGGGCTGTACTCACGGCTTCCTGCAGTGGGCGGCTGTGAGCAGCCACTGTGGAGTGATCAGCACCGCCCCGCAGTACAGCTTGTTGGGTCCCAGCAGCAGTGCGCCCTGCCATGGCTGTGCATCCTTTTCACAATCTGACCCATTTATAATGCGAGAACTACTATCCGACCGGGTGTCCTCCCCTGACTCGGACTCCCTGCTGAGGTCTCTGTTAGTTCCGGAGGGCCCATTGCCAGAGGGGTTGCCACAGGAGGAAACATCTTCAGCAAGAACAGGCTCTGGAAATACAGAGTGGGTGGAGAATGGGCTTGGGGGTGGGGCTTGAACTCGGGGAAGGGGCTTAGATGCAGGGGTATTCTCAGAGTCAGGAACTGGAACCAACCACGTTGTCTGACCTGATGCCCCAGGCCCTTGGATAAGAAACTGGAACCAGGGATGTGGAGATGAGGCCAGGGACTGGGCAAGGGCTGAAGGACGAGTCCTAGAATGTGGACAACAGAGCTGTAGAGGTGAGGTTAGGCCGGAAGGCTTGGGTCAGGGCTGTGGAAGTGGGACCAAGGAGTAGAGGTGGGGCCAGGTCAGTCAGGTGTGGCCCTGTCTGTAGGGCGGGGTCACGGCAGTGTGGAAAGGGCCAAGGCTGTAGGGAAGGCCCTTGTGAACAAGAGCAAACAGGTGGTAACTCCGTCAGGGAACCAGGGTTGTGGACGGATAGATCCCCAGCTCTAGTGGGCTCCTAGCACTTTTGTGTGCCTCAGGATTCCAGACATTGCTTTAGAACTCGGTTGGTGTTACCGGGGGAGGGGGCGTTCCCTGGGACACAAGAGCCCTTAAGGGCAGAGCAAACTTAAGGTTTGGGACCTCATTCCAGAAGTGGAGTCAAGCCAAGCCTGGTGTCACAAGCCTGTCACCCACGGATTCAGGAGGCTGAGGCACCAGGATGGCAAGTTTAAGACCTGGGCGGCTGGCGACCGGGAATTAGTCTATGGAGAGGTGAGGCCAAGATCACTTGGGGTGATCAGTCCTGACTTTGGAAGGGGAGGTGGAGCTGACCTCTGGAGCCACCTATAGCAAGATGGAACCTAGGGAAACAGGGCGAGAACCAGGGACTTGGTTGAAAACAGTGGGTGGAGTCAGAGTTCTTGGGTGGAACTTAAGGAGGGGGACAGAAAGAGGGGACTCTGGAGGGGTACAGCATGACTCACTCTCTGAATTCCCACACAGACCTTTATGCCTTCTGCCTCCCCCATCCCCACAGGCCAGTCACTGGTCATGTTCCTGCTAATGAACTAGAGAAGGGGGCTTCAGTAGTCTATGCACCCACAGGCACATTCCAAGGAACAAATGCGCCTGCTCCTGAGTGTCAGGCGCCTTCCCTCAGGAGCTCATACCCCTGACCAGCATCTGAGTGACAGGCAGGTATGTGTGGACGGGAGAACTGCACACACTTCTGCACACGGGAATGATGGCACATCACACTTAAAGGACATTTGTGTCTGGTTCCCAGGTTGGCACAGCCGAGGGAATCATGGCTACTACCATCTACAGTCACTTTGCTCTTGGTTCCCCCAGGCATGGCCGGGAGCCCTAAAAACAGTTGCATTGAACACACATCCAGCGGCGCTCACAGCGCCCCAAATGCACAGCCCCCCACATGTGAGGCTCCACCTGCCACAGGACCACAAATACCGTCACATGGGAAAGGGGCTATCTGCAAACACAAGGGTCGTATATTTTCACAGTGATGAGCAGAGCTTCACTGCATTCCAGACATAGAGACTGCAGTACAAAGGAGACACATTGAGTCAGATGCACAGCAGCATCACCAACCTGGAAAGCGCACCCACACAGATGCAGCACCAGCTCAAAGGGTCAGTGCCATCTGCCATGCACAGTCACGGGCCATACCCACTTGCCCACATCTGCAACCTCAGAACTTGGGAAGCTGAAGCAGGAGGGTAGAATTCAAAGCCAGACAGGGCTTCAGAGTGAGCTCCAGGAGAGCCTGGGTTATAGAGCAGGTTCTAGGTTAGCCTAGGATACAAAGTGAGATTATGTCTCGGAAACTAAAAATAAGGAGCCTGGAAAGATGGCTGAGTATTTAAGAGCTACTCTTGCAGTGGATCTGGATGTGATTCCCAGTAGTCACATGACAGCTCCCAGTCACCTGCAACTCCAGTTCCAGGGGGTCTGAAGCCTGCCTATTCTGGTCTCCTTGGGCATCAGGCATGCTTAATTCAAAATCCATACAAATAAAGTAAAATAAACAAAAAAACAAAACAAACCAGTAATAGCAAAAACAGTTGATGGCACACAATTGCAATCCTAGCCCTCAGGAGGCAGGTGTAAGAGGACTGGCCACAAGTTCGAGGCCAGCCTGGTCTAGATAGTGTGGTCTAGACCAGCCTTAGCTACACAGTGAGACTCTGCCTCAAAAAACAAAAACAAAAAAACAAGATAGATGCCCTCTCCTGCTCGCCAGTACATACACATCCACGGGGCCCACATTCAATTGTGTAACCACACAGGCACAAACACACATTCACCTGCCCCCAGGGCCACACCCACTGGTCCTCAGCGGCAGCTTCTCCCCCCACACTTAGGGACTCTGGTTACCTGAGACCCCCAGAAGCAGGGTTGCAATCAGGGTAGCCATTGTCCACTTCCGGGGATGTCCTGCCCTTGCCATGACTGCTGCACCTGCTAGGAAATAGAGGTCTCAGCCCACTTCCCTCACCTGTGCCCGGTGTCTCTAGAAGAGAGGCATCACAGAGGGATGGACAGCCTCGCCCTTAGCCCTCAGAGACCAGCAGTGGAGGGGAGGACTGCAAGCATCTTACAGTCTGTGAGGGTGGAGTGAGGAGAGGCAGGGCGAACACAAGATAAGACAGAGCCAGGCAGGGCCCCTCTCCTCCCTCACCTGCTGAGACCCCTCCCCGGGCCTCACCTGCCACTGTCCCTGGTGCCCTGGGCAGTGGGTGGCGGGGGTCTGGCTCTCACTGTAGCTGCAGACTTCTCAAGGTGGCCTGAGCCTTCCAGCCACCCCTCCTCTCCGCTGGCACCTGGTGATATAACCACCCACTGGTCCCCGGGGCACATTCCCTGGCAGTGAGCTTCCTGTCAGTCTGGGCCCCGGCACTCACTCTTCCTGTCTCCCCTCCCCTCCACCCCCGGAGCACCCCCCACCCAGCGCCTAGTGCCACTCCCTCCCTCCCTGGCCCCAAGGATGGGGAGGGGGCCTCAGCCAGGCAGGAGCTCAGAGGTGCTCTTCTAGAGCGAGGATTTCTTATTTTCCTTTTCCTGTGTCACTCGTTCATTACAACTCTGTCTCCTTTCCCATCTCTCCTTCCGTCTTCGTCTGTTTTTAAAACCCCTCTGCCTTGTGGTCTAGCTGTTAGTCCTCGCAGGACCTTCCAGAGTCTGTCAGCATTTGACATCCAACGCATCTGTTAGTGTGTCTTCCCCACCTCTCTGTCCCCATGTCTCTCTCTGTCTGCCTCCTGCGTGTCCTGGTCTCTGTCTCTCAGTCACGGATTCCCCCGGCCTCTGTACTATCTCTCCTCTCCTCTTTATGCCTTGCCCCCCCCCGCTTTACCCTTTTCCTGTCTTGTCTCTCCCCGTCCGTCCGTCTTTTTTTTCTACCTCTCTGTCTGCCTCTCATCTCTATCTCTCTGCTTTCGGGTCCCTGTCCCTTTCTGTCACTGCACCACCCTCCGTGTCGTTTGGGCAGGGGAGACAAGACCATTTGCAGTTGAAACCCAGGACCCCCTTCTACTCCCCATACAGGGTCCCAGGCGAAGGGTCAGCAAGAGGCAGGGAAGCAGGCTGCCTCCACCAGGTGCCCTGGTCCAGCCGGCACGGCCAGACGTGGATGACACAGTCGGGTGACGCAGCTGGGTAGGGCAGCATGGTAATGGAAAAGGAGGCCAGGAGCCAGGGCCAGAGGTGGGTGGCTCCGGTGCTTCGGGAAATGGGACACTGGATGGCGAGGAGAGCACCAGCCCTCTCTGCCTGATCCTGCCATCGGGCAGCTCACTTGCCCTCTTCTCTGTCCTGACTTCTCTTTCAGCTCTCCATTCTCCATCCCCACAGGGAGGTGGGAGCCCAGCATCCATCGCCTAAAGCCAGGCACAAACCTGCTCCCCATAAACGACAGCCATGAAGATGTGCAGATTCCAGCAGGGGTGTTAGAGCCTGGGGTGGCTTTACTGCACAGGAAAAGAAGCCCAACAGCAAATCCCACATGGAGGTTTAGTGTGATTCTAGGAATTTGTATTTCATATATTAAGGCTACAAAATCAGCAACCCATTTCTCTCTTGGTATTTGTTCTGACTTACATGGCCTTTTAGGTTCAGTTTGCAGTTGTTAACTGTTTTGTTTTTAAAATCTGTTTTATATTATAGTTTACTTATTACTCTATCATTTAAGTATTCAATTTGGTGTTGTGTGTGCATGTGCGAATGTGCATGCTCAAATGGAGGGCAGAGGACAGGAGTTGGTTCTCTCTGTCTACCTCGGGGGCCTAAGAGACCAACCTGAGGTCACCAGGCTCGGCAGTAAGTGCTTTACCTACTGAGCGGTCTCCATGGCCCATTTTTGTTCCTTGAGATAACATCTAGTGCCGTAGGCCAGGCTGACCTCTAATTCGTGGCAATCCTCCAGCCTCAGCCTTCCAAGGGCTCGGATTGCAGGTGTGAGCCACCACATTTAGCTTTAAACTACCATTCTTTTAGACAAGGTTTCCTGTAGTCTTGAACTCACATCATAGCTGATGACCTTGGACCCCAGACTCTGCCTCCATCTCCTGAGTGCTGGGGTTGTATGTCCCCCTACAGCTTGCCTAATGCAATGCTTTGGATCAAACCCAGGGCTTCATGAATAACAGCACCTACCAACTGAGCTACATCATACCTCAGTTGTTTTAATTCTAGCAGTGTCTCCTTTCTTTTTAAAGGTTTGCTTTTAACGTGTGTGAGTGTTTTGCCAGCTAGTCTGCATAGGCAGCATGCAGGTACCCAGGGAAGCCAGAGGAAGCCCCATTTCCTGGAACTGGAGTTACAGGCAACTGTAAGACAACGTGTGGGTGCTGGGAATTGAACCTGGCTTCTCTGGAGAACAGCCAGTGCTCTCAACTGCTGAACCACGTCTCCAGCCCCTGGACAGATCTTTGTAAAAACAGTTCTAAATGTATTCATTCAGAATTCCATTCATGTGTACAATGCCTTTTGGTCATACTCATCCTCACTGACCCTCCAGCTCCTCCCAGATCCCCACCCCTGCCAATGCTTGCTTGTTTTTTACATTTTTATTTATCCTTCTCTCATAGAATGCATCCCAACTGCAGCTTCCTCTCCCTCCTCTTTCCCCCAGATCCACCCACCCCCTCACCTCCCCCAGAAAAGAGCAGGCCTCCCGGGACACCAGCCGAACACAACTCAACGAGATACAACACGCGCAGGCACAAAACCTTACATCAAGGCTGGGCAAGGAGGAAAGGGGTTCTCAAGGCTGTGGAAAGAATCAGAGACGCTTCTGTTCCCACTGCCACCAAGCCGTGGCATACACGCAGAGGACCTAGCACACGCACATGCAGACTCCCTGCTTACCCCTTTAGTCTCTGTGAGCCGCAGAGCCCTGCTTAGTTGACTCCACAGACCTTGCTCTCCACGTTTCCTTGACTCCTTTGGCTCCCACAGTCCCTCCTTAGCATCTTGCACGGATGGGGTTCCCTAAGCTCAGAGAGGGACCCTGGGGAGACTTCCAACCTGGGCTCTCTGTCTGCCTGATGTTTGACTGTGGGTCTCAGCACCCCCTCCCCCCCTCCCCTCCCACTCCATCAGCAAAAATCTATTCTATTTCCCCCCTCCCAGGGAGATCCATTCACCCCTGCTTGAGCCCTCCTAGTTACCTAGCCTCTCTGGGTCTGTGGATTGCAGCCTGGTTATCATTTCCTTAACAGCCAATATGCACTTATAAGTTTATTGTCAGTTTTAGTGCCCATTCTGCTCAGGAAGCCATCTCCTGTGCCAGTGCGTCCAAGGCTAGTCCCCACTTCCTCTTCTGTCAGGTTCAGTGGACCTGGTCTTATGTTGAGGCCTTTAATCCGCTTGGACTTGAGTTTTGTGCGGGCTGATAGATATGGACCTATTTGCTTTCTTCTACGTGTAGACATCCAGTTAGATCAGCACCATTTGTTGAGGATTATTTCTTTTTTCCATTGTGTATTTCTGGCTTCTTTATCAAAAATCAGGTGTGTAGATTTGTGTCTGAGTCTTCAATTTGATTCCATTGATCAATGTGTCTGTTTTTATGACAATACCTAGTGGCATTTATAACTGTAGCTCTGTAGTATGGCTTGAAATCAGGGATGGTGGTACCTCTGAAAGTTCTATTATTGTTCAGGATTTTTTTTTTTGCTATCCTGGGTTTTTTTCCACATACAGTTGTGTTTTGTCCTTTCAATAACTAAAGAATTGTGTTAGAATTTTGATGGGGATTACCTTGAATCTGTAGAAAGCTTTGGTAGGATGGTCATTTTTACTATGCTAATCCTACTGATCCATGGGCTTGGGAGATCTTTCCAGTTTCCGATATCTTCTTCAGTTTCTTGCTTCAAATCCTTGCCATTTTGTCATACAAGCTTTTCACTTGTTTAGTTAGAGTTACACCAAGACATTTTATATTAGTTGTAGCTATTGTGAAGGATGCTGTTTTCCTGATTTTTTCCCTCAGTCTGTCATCTATATATAAGAGAGCTACTGATTTTTTAGGTAATCTTGTATGCAATCACTTCACTGAAGTTGTATATTAGCTGTAGGAATTCCCTGGCAGGATCCCTTATGTATACTATCTTATCATCTGCAGATAGCAATACTTTGACTTCTTCCTTTCTAATTTGTATCCACTTTGTCTCCTTTTGTTGTCTTATTGCTCTAGATAGATTTTAAGTAAAATATTAAATAGATATGGAGAGAGTGGACAGCCTTATCTTATTCCTGATATTAGTGGAGTTGCTTTGAGTTCCTCTTCATTTAATTTGATGTTGGCTATAGACTTGCTGTAAATTACCTTTATTATGGTAGGTATGTTCACTGTTTCCATAAATAATCTTTCTAGGACTTTTATCATGAAGTGGTGTTGGATTCTGTCATAGGCTTTTTGGGCATCTAATGAGATAATTGAAATTTTCTTTTCTTTCAGTTTGTTTCTATGGTGGATTACACTGACTGATTTTCATATGTTGAATCATCCCTGCATCTCTAGGTTGAAGCCTACTTGGTCAGGGTGGATGATATTTTTCATGTGTTCTTGGATTTGGTTTTTGAGTACTTTATTGAGTATTTTTGCATCAATAGTATTAAGGGAAACTGGTCTGTAATTCTCTTTCTTTGTTAAATCATTGTATATTTGGGATCATTGTGTTTCTATTTTGTGGAATACTTTGAGGAGTATTGGAGTTAGTTCTTCTTTGAAAGTCTGGTAGAATTCTGTGCTAAGACTGCCTGGCTCTGTTTTTGTTTGTTTGTTTGTTTTTGGCTGTGAGACTTTTAATGACTGCTTTTATTTTGGGGGGCTTTAGGTCTATATAAATTGTTTATATGATCTTGATTTGACTTTGGTAGGCGATATCTATCAAGAAAATTATCCATTTCTTTTAGTCTTTCCAATTTTGTGGAGTACCGGTTATGACCCTCTTTTTCATTTCTGATTTTGTTAATTTGCATGGTCCCTCTCTGCCTTTTGGTTAATTGGATAAGGGTTTGTCTATTTTGTTGATTTTCTCAATGAACCAACTCTTTGTTTCCTTGATTCTTTGTATTGCTCTCTTTATTTCTATTTTATTAATTTCATCCTTGAGTTGATAATTTCTTACATTATTATATTTTTTAATCTAGATGTGCTGTCTACACATTCATGAGTGCAGTGACCATGTCATGCCTAGAAGACACTATTTCTTGACACTCCTCCCCATTTTCTGACTTGCTATACATGTATAAGGGCCTAAATACAAACCCATAAAACCTAAGTAAAGTCAAACATGATAGCATGTGTCATGTTCCGGCACTCCTGGTGGGATGAGAGATGGACCAGAGTCCACAGACACTCATTGGTAGGCTAGCCTGGCAGCATAGAGGTGAAGACCTAGTCTCAAACAAGGTGGAAGACAGGACTGATGCCTGAGGTTCTCCAGCTGCCCCCAGGCGTTCTGGCATTTGCACACCTGCATTCACACACACGGGCATGCTCACTCACCTCTCTCTCTCTCTCTCTCTCTCTCTCTCTCTCTCTCTCTCTCTCTCACACACACACACACACAATTTTAAGGTATTGTATCACAGGGGAAGGGATACTACATCTCAGAGATGATGCTCTTGTCTAAGATGTGTGAGGCCTCGAGTTCCATCTGTAACGGCACCAAAGACAGGCAAGAGAAAAGCATCACAGACCAAAAGGTTACACATTCTAAGTTAAAGTTAAAGGCTGCCTGTAACAGGAAAATTCTCCTTACCATATAAGTAAGAATCCCATGTGTGGCAATTCCACTTAAAAATCCACACCAAATTTCCAGGCCAATTTTGACCCTTGCCACATGGAGTTGAAGGTGATAGAGTGGAGTGAGGCTCCAGTGTGGGAGACAGTGACTTTTATTGTGCTTCAATTTCTCTGTTTACAAGATGAGAGCAATGATGGCTCCTACAACACAGGCTTGACACAGGATCTAAGGAGTTAACAGCATGAAAAACAGAATTGTGGCATATGACAAACACGTGCTTAAAGATGGCTATACTGTGTTTTTGTGGTCATAATGCCCCTCTTATTGATGGATATTTTGAGGGGGGTCAGGGGAAAGCAGGGAGCCCAGGACCTCACACATACCCAGCAGAATTTGGAGGGGCTTTACCCCTGAGCCACAACCCCTGCCATTCGCTGTTGGCCCTGAGCCATACCCCAGGCTCTCACTGGGGGATTCCAGGCAGGGCTGTAGCAGTGAATTGCATCCCACCCCTTTTTTTACTTTTATTTGGGCACAGGGCTGTACTAAACTGTTCACGCTTGACTTAAGTTTTCTGTTGTCCTGGGAAATGGCCTGAGTAGGTAGAGTGTGATGGTTCCAATGACAGAGGCCCCACAGGCCCATGCATTTGAATACTTGGCCCCAAGCTGGTGTGACTGTTTTGGGAAGGATTAGGAGGCGTGGCTTTGTTGGAAGACATGTGTCAAAGGGGTGTGCCTTTGAGGTTTCAAAAACCCCTGCCAGGCCCAGTCTCAGTCTCTCTGCCTCCAACTTGCCCATTAAGATACAAGTTCTCAGTTTCTGCCTCAATGCCATGTCTGCCTGCTTCCCAGCCTGCTCCCTGCAGTCGTGGTCATGGACCCGTCCTTTCGAACTGCAGGCAATCTCACAGTTCAGCAGGAGACCGGAGAACCCATTCAGGGAGCTGGAGGGCACCTCAGTCTTGACACCCACTTCTGCATTCTTCTTGGCAACTCTCGTCCGTTTCGTGACTGTGTTCACTGTCCCCAATGTTTGCAGAGCGTTGGCTGAGACTGCCTGGCTGTCATCATTTTACCCTCCCATTCCCCATTGTGAATTGTCTGCAAAGCTGGTATTTCTTTGATTCTTAGGGCGACCCTCTAGCAGAGGACTTGCCCAGCACGTACAGAGCTCCAGGTTCATTTCCCAGTGTGATGGTTTGACTAGGTATGGCTCCCACAGACTCGTGTGTTTCAATGCTTGGCCTACAGGTGCCAGCACTGTTAGACAGTGTGGCCTCATTGGAGGGAGTGTGTCACTGTGGGGAGGGCTTTGAGTTCTCAGGCAGCTCACTTCCTGCTGCCTGCCTGCAGATCCAGATGTGGAACTCTCGGCTCCCTCCCCAGCACCACACTTGCCGTGCTCCCTCCTGTGATGACAATGGTCTAAACCTCTGAACTGTAAGCCAGCCCCAATTAAATGTTTTCCTTTGTAAGAGTTGCTGTGGTCATGGTATCTCTTCACAGCGATCGAAACCCTAACTAAGACAGAACCCAGCAACACACACAAAACTGAGCATATACTGGTGCATTTTTATAATCTAAGCATTCAGTAGGTGGAGGCAGGGGATCAAAAGTTCAAGGTCACGGAAAGAGTTCAAAGCCAGTCTGGGCTACACGAGACCTTTTCTCAAAAACCAAAAAACAAACAAAAACAAAACAAAACAAACTTCTTAAGGTTCCAACTCTCAGCTCTGAGCCTGTTGTACTCTCTCAGAGTCAAGGCCAGTTTCCCCTGCTGGCTGCAGTCACACCATCTTCTGTTGACTGATGTCTCCAGTCACTTCACCCGTTTCTCCTGCCTCGAATTCCATTGTCTCGTGCGGTCTCCAGAAGCTCTTACAGCTAGGCTTTCCCTTACCGCTCCCGCTACCCACTGGACCTCCACACCCAGACACCTGTCTTTAACCCCGCCCCCCAGTCCCGGTCCCACCCCTTCTGGATCTGCACCTTTGTCAAAGCTCCTCCCACACCCCACAGGTTTGGTCTTTTCCCTTTGGCTCCCTGCATATGGGTGCTCTCAAGCTTTCTGTGTCTTCCTATAACCTTCAGGAGAAATCCCTCATCTCAGATAATGGTACCTGAAGTCCTTTATGACACTTAACGCCCATCACTCTTAGCCTACCATAATCTCACAGTCCTCGAACCTCGTTTTTTGTTTGTCTGGTTTTCCTGGAACTCACTGTGTAGACCTGGCTGGCCTCGAACCCACAGAGATCCACTTGCCTCGGCCTCCTGGGTACTGGGGTTAAGGGTGTGAGCCACCATACCAGGCTTCACCTCCTTATTTTTGCTGTTACTGAAGTGACTAACGTAATAAACGCCATCTTGTCCTGACTCCATGTCTACGTAGACTCTTCTCAGACCTCTGCCCTCCTCCTCCACCAATAGCCATATCCATCTTGGCACTATATTTGGAATTTCCATGAGCCTGACCATGGTCCAGATATACTCACTAAAATAGCTAGTATTTAACTAAACATTAATGAAAATAACCAAAAAAGACTTAAATCAAAATTAATTGTCGCCGGGCGTTGGTAGCACATGCTTTTAATCCCAGCACTCTGGAGGCAGAGGCAAGTGGATCTCTGTGAGTTCGAGGCCAGCCTCTGTAAGTTCCAGGACAGCCTCCAAAACGGTACAGAGAAACCCTGTCTCAAAAAACAAACAAACAAACAAAATTGTCATGTTGTGTATGAAATTACTACTATGCTCTGTCAAGAACATATTGCAAGATTACTGTGACTCTCAGATAATATAGATGCACTAGTTTACATGGCAAATTCTGGGTTAGCTATGGCTACACAGAGATACCCTGTCTCAAACCAACCAACCAACCAATAAACACAACCATACTAAGCAACAACAAACATACTGTACCCTTGAACTTTGGTACCAAGAGTCATTCTTATGCACTAGCCCACTCTTGATCCCTGACTCAAAATAAAGGACTCTAATTTTGGTGTGGTGGACTGTAGTTTTCTTATCTATACTACAATACTACAAAAAGAGTTTGAGAAAGATTATCTCTGAGGGGCCAGAGAAAGGCAGAGGAGTCCAGGGTGGATATCAAATTAGGTCGTAAAGCAGTAGGCAAAACTAGACTTCTAGGGAGCAGAAACGGAATAATGAAAAGCGCCCTCTATGTGCCTTCCCTGGTAGAGGTGAAGGGACGCTTCCTCCTTGTTCTTGCAGTAAGTCCTGTTAACCACCGAGCATTTCCCCAGCCCCATAAGAACCTAATTTTACAGATGAGAACATTCACGCTATAAAGGAAAGCACTTCCCACAGTGCCCAGTGGGGTAGGACTGTACTCTGTGCCCTCCCATCTCCCTGGGATGCAAAGATTGAGCAGAGGATATTTATAGATGATCTGTGCTCAGTGTCTCACATTTATTAAGTATCAGTGTCAGATGTGGGCATCTGAAGGCTCCGAGGGTAGGTAGGGTAGGGTCTCAGGGAGAGAGAATCAGTGGCCAGTCAGGGGAGGGGGAGTCGTAGGTCGAGAATTGGATATCTCATGTCAGAGCCACTTGGTTTTTATGATGTTTTGGATCCATTTGGTATGGAAGCAAACGTCAGTGTAAACTCCTGGCTTCTTCTTTGATCCACAGGGCAAGTTACCCCATGATACAAGACCTCGGAGACGATCTCCACATACCAGGGGACCTCCAGAATCACCCTATGTGGAAAAGAGAAAATCAGAAACTCACACAGAAGGAGGAGGGAGAGGAGGGATGGGGGTAGAATGGGAGCATTAGAGATACTCAGAGATGGAAGAAAAGACTGGTGTGGTGGTGCATGCCTGACATCTCAACTGCTCAAGATGCTGAGGCAGGAGGATTGCAAGTTTAAGGCTAGCTTGTGCAATGTAGGAAGACCCTGTCTCAGAGTAAAAGAGGGATGGCTGTGTGGCTCACTGATAGAGCACTTGCTGAGCATACGTAAGAACCTGGATTCAATTCTCAGTAAAAGACGGAGGTAGGTGGGGCACTCAAGACACCAGGTTCCATATGGGTGGGGGAGGGCGTTCAGATAAGCCATCCGTCCCGGAGGGAAAGGTATTAAGACCTAGGATGTTCTAAGGGGAGTTGAAACACTCCACCCCATAGCAAAGATCCTTAAAGTTTAACAAACAAACAACTTCAGGCTTCAGGAAGTCCCTGAAACTGACCAGATGCACCAGGCCCCTCATTCTCCAAGCATATATAAACAATAAGGACTACTAAGAGTCACTCTCAGACAAGATGAGCTGCCCGGAAGAGGTCCTGACTGGCTCAACTGCTAGAGAGAGACACTCTCCAATCTGTTGGGCTGCCTGCTCTGCTTTGGTAAGCTGTCACCAGTGCTGGAGTGAGTCATTTCTGTTCCCGTAACTAACCCCACCATTCTTTGGTTCCTTGTCTGGGGTGAGTAGATGTTTGTTCTCATCACTACAGGAAGAAATCATAGGACACAGAGAGACACCAAGGTCCATAAAAGTAAAGGCTATCAATGGGGGGGGGGGCAAAAATGCTAAGACCAGCGGGAGAGGTGGGGAAGGCAGGAGCTCAAGAGGGAGACAAAAAACTTAACGCTCTCCTCCCCCTGTTCCCTGGCCAGCCGCGTCTACCTGTTCTTTCTTTTCTCCCAAATCACTGTCTCAAATCACTGTTCCTTGGCTTCCTCACCCCCCACCCTTGCTTTCTTGGCATGCTGACCTAGAGTCACTCTGGCATAGAAAGGAGTGTGGAGGGATAATAGTTAGGGAAGCTCCAGGTAAGGTATTGAAGACTAGATGGGTGTGGCGGTGCATGCCTGTCCTCCAGAGAAACCCTGTGAGTCTGAGACAAGCCAAGGCTTATGAGTGAGTTCCAGGGCAGCCGGTTGCAGGTCTTGAGGGATGAACATAGAGTCCCTCCCTTTGCAGCTGGGATGCCACCTCATCTGGAGCTCAGCCATTTCAAAGTAGACTTCATGACTACAGCTCTGAGGAAGGATGGCTGTTTGTAACATCTGTTTGGCTCTTGAGTCTCTCCAGTTGTTCAAAACTTCAAGTAAAGTGACCATTCATTGAAACTTTTTTAAATTTTCAAACTTGCTAGGTTCACCCATATTTGGCCAGCCATCGTAGTGTGTCTCTGGCTCTTGGTGTCTTCCTCTCTGTCCATGCATCTGAATTTCCTGTTTCTGCTTGGTGTCTTGTGTGTGTGTGTGTGTGTGTGTGTGTGTGTGTGTGTGTGTGTGTGTGTGTGTGTGTGTAGGTAGACATCTGAGAGTATGTGTGGATGCAGGTATGTGTGTGTGTGTGTGTGTGTGTGTGTGTGTGTGTGTGTGTGTAGGTAGACATCTGAGAGTATGTGTGGATGCAGGTATGTATGTGTGTGTGTGTGTGTGTGTGTGTGTGTGTAGGTAGACATCTGAGAGTATGTGTGGATGCAGGTATGTATGTGTGTGTGTGTGTGTGTGTGTGTGTGTGTGTAGGTAGACATCTGAGAGTATGTGTGGATGCAGGTATGTATGTGTGTGTGTGTGTGTGTGTGTGTGTGTAGGTAGACATCTGAGAGTATGTGTGGATGCAGGTATATATGTGTGTGTGTGTGTGTGTGTAGGTAGACATCTGAGAGTATGTGTGGATGCAGGTATGTATGTGTGTGTGTGTGTATGTGTGTGTGTGTGTATGTGTGTAGGTAGGTAGACATCTGAGAGTATGTGTGGATGCAGGTATGTATGTGTACATGTGGAGGCCAGCAGTCAACTTTAGGTATCCTTCCTCAGGAATCATCTACTGTGTTTTTTTGAGACAGGGTCACTCATTGGTCCCAGTTCACCAGTCAGGCTAAGTTGGCTGGCCAGTGAACCCCAGGGATCTGCCTGTCTCTGTCTCCCAGTACTGGGATGACAAAGCACATGCCTTTATGCCCTTCAACTCAGGCCCTCATTACTCGCGTGACACATATTTTACTGGCTGAGTCATCCTTTCTGCCCCAGGCTGCCTTGTTTCTTTCTTATCTGTCTCTGCTGTGTGGGGTGGTCTGTCTTGTCCTCCAGCGCCCTCTGCTCTGCTCTTTTTGTCTGTGTCTCTGTCTTCCTGCCTCTGCTCTGCTCTCTTTTTGTCTGTGTCTCTGTCTTCCTGCCTCTGTTCTGCTCTCTTTTTGTCTGTGTCTCTGTCTTCCTGCCTCTGTTCTGCTCTCTTTTTGTCTGTGTCTCTGTCTTCCTGCCTCTGTTCTGCTCTCTTTTTGTCTGTGTCTCTGTCTTCCTGCCTCTGTTCTGCTCTCTTTTTGTCTGTGTCTCTGTCTTCCTGCCTCTGCTCTGCTCTTTTTGTCTGTGTGTCTGTCTTCCTGCCTCTGCTCTGCTCTTTTTGTCTGTGTGTCTGTCTTCCTGCCTCTGGTTGGTTGCAGGTCTCTGCTCCCGTCCTCACCTGGCAGGAGTCGCTCCCTTCTTCCTTGTCGCCCGCGCACACCATGCTTCGGGTGATCTTACCAGGGTAGGCACGCTCACACTCCTCCCGGGACACCAGCTGGACATCAGCACACTGAAGGGTGTCCGGGAAGTCACCTGGGAGGAGGGAGAAGGGCCAGGCCACGTGAGCCTCTCATGTCTTCACTGTCCCTCCCCCCATTTCCTCTGATTTCTTTCTTGTTTCTCTCATGTTAGAATCCATCTTGTCACTGCCTCCTGATGGCTTCCTCTCCCTATCATTATTGCTTCGCTTTCCTGACTAATCATTGCTTCTCCGTGAGTTCTCATTTCTCTTCTCATTGGCCCTTGGTTTTGCGGCCATCTTCTCCATGCTAGTCATCCATCCACATTCGGTCCAGCTCCTCACATGAACAGACCAGCCTGTTAGTCTTCTCCGTCAGCACTTACTCATGGCCCACCATTGGCCATCCCACCTCCATCTTTACACCCCCTCTCTTTGGTCTCTTCAGCCACTCCCAGCCGTCTCCCCTCACTGACCGTTTTCCATCTTGCCCCAGCCTAGGATCTGGCAGCTGCGACTCTCCTTGGAGCAGTCTTTCTTCAAGGGCAGAGGCTGGATCTTTTGAGAGAATTTGACCGAATTTCTCAGATGCAGCATCATGATGTCATTGTCATGGGTGTCAGGGTTGTATCGGGGGTGCACAATTGTCCGATCCACAGAGATATGCCTTTGGAAACTCTCTGTTTGCCGTAAGTTGTGTTTCCCCAAGCGCACTTCCAGATTCCTGGAAGGAAGCAGCTAGGTCTCAGCTGAGGCCCCCGAGAGATCATCCTCCCCATCCTTCCCCCTTCTCCCCCTCCTCCCCCTCCTCCCCCTCCTCCCCCTCCTCCCCCTCCTCCCCCCTCCTCCCCCCTCCTCCCCCATCCTCCCTCCTCCCTCGCTCTTCCCCAGCTCAATCAAAGGTAAGCTCATTCTTCTAGAATTTTGCCTTTAAATTTTTCTTACAGCGCTGCTTGACAGTCAGCTACCATAGCTACAGGTTCTACAGACTCAGCTGACCACAGACCAAAAGTCCTAGGGGAGCCGCTGAGCATGGTGGTGTACACCTTTAATTCCAGCGCTCTGGAGACAGATGCTGGAGGATTTATATGCATTTGAGGCCAGCCTGATCTATATAGTGAATTCCAGGCCAACCAGGACTACATAGAGAGACCCTGACTTAAAAACAAGTAATACAATATTGAGGACGGAGCAGGAAAGATGGCTCAGCAGGTAACGTGGTTGCTGCATAAGCCCAATGACTTAAGTTCAACCTCCAGAGCCTAACAAAGGTGGAAGGACAGGATCCGACTCCACAAAGTTGTCCCTTGACCTCCAGAGGTGCCCTGTCATATGTGCACACCCACACAAGACTAATAATAAATAAAAAATTTAAAATATGTATGGGGGAAAATGTGTCCATATTCAACATATACAGATTTTTCTTGTTATTGTTTCTCAAACAAAACAAAAAATGCTATTTATGCAGCATGTATATTGCCATGGGCACTAACATGTAATCTAAGGATAATTTACTTATGAATTTATTTTTTATTTAATTGTATGTGTGGGTAGGTGGGGTATGTGTGTTTGGGTGCAAGTTCCCATGAAGGGCCAGAGAAGGTGCTGGATCTTCTGACACTGGAGTTACAGGCAGTTGTGATCTGGGTCTGAATCAGATCCTCTGCAAGACATTATGTGCTTTTAACCAGAGAGCCATCTCCCTAGTTTTTTAAGGTTTTATTTGATTTATCTGAGTGTGTGTATGTGTGTGTGTGTGTGCGCGTGTTGATTGGTGTGCATGCACAGAGGACTTTGAATCCAAGTTGGAGTTACAGGCATTTGCAGGCTGCCTGGCTTGTGAAATGGGTTCTTGGATCCTAAGTTCAGTCCTAATGATTGGGAAGCAAGTTAACTACGGAGCTATTGATCCAGGTCTCATTTTTGTTTTTTGGAGGGCACCTCTTCTATCCCAAGCTGGCCTCAAGCTCCCTATGTAGCTGAGGATCAGCTGTGCTTCTGATTCTCCAGCCTTTATCTCTCAAGTGCTAAGACTACAGTGATACACTACCATGCCCAGTTTGGGAGATGTTGGGGATGGAAACCAGGGCAATCGCTCCACCAACTCCTGCATTAGCAACCCCTTTAGAGATAGAACTTAGATCTCATGCAAAGATATGCATAGGCTACACACAAGTGTGGCACTAGTTCTTTTGTAAACAGCTTAAGTGTCTGCAAATTTTGACATCCCCCAGGGTCCTGGGACCTATGAATACCCGGCTGAACAAAGCTGCTTCTAGGATAGCAAGGGCTCAGGTCCGCCTCCCTCCTGAAGTCTGCAAGGCACCCTCTGGATCCCTTACATCTGCTTCTCAAAGAAAGAGACACTCACGGTTTTTTGCAGTGGGCAGCTGTGAGCACCCACTGCGGATCAACGAGGACCCCGCCACACAGCAAGTGACCCGAGGTGTAGAGGGCAGCTTGGAAAGGGTGAGAGTTCTTCAAACAGGGGGCACCGTGTACCACTTTATCCTGCTCCTCGGTCCAGGCTGAGAGGGGGAGGATCCGAGTTAGAGAAGACCTCAGACCTGAGACCCTTCTGAGATGAGCTGCAATCAAGCCGGTCCCTAGTCCCATTGTCACCTCCAACCCTCCCTTCCCTTCCTCCACTCTGCCTCCACACTCTTCTCTCTCTCTTTTTATTTTGTTGTTTGAGAAAGGGTTTCTCTGTGTGGCTCTGGCTGTCCTGGAACTCACTCTGTAGACCAGGCTGGACTTCAATTCAGAGATCCACCTGCCTCTGCCTCCAGAGTGCTGGGATTAAGGCCTGTGCCATCATGTTCAGATGTCTCTCCATCCTCAAAGCCATACTCATCCCTTTTCTTCAAACCCACCTTCCAGATGTTCTTAGCCAGTGCCCTCAGGGTCTTCCTCATTTCAAAACCACCTAGCCCTGTCCTAAACTACCATCTGCCAACAATGCCCATCCATCTACCAACCCTGTCCCCCTTCTATGTTCCTTTTATCACCTGACTTAACAAGAACCAAGCACAGGGCCAGCATCTTCACCGTCGTCTTCATGGCCACCTTGAGTGGGGGAGTCAACAATTGCATTAGTTAAGCCCTGGCCTCTCCAGGACCCCACCCTGCTCCTCCCTCACCCTCCCCACCCTCCCTGTCCTTTTTTGATCTTTGCAGCCCTTCTCACACCCCTCATTTCCCAACCCACACCTTGAATCTGAGGGTCCCCCGAGAGCAGATGTGAAACAGGATGCAGGCCATGTTCATGGTTCCGGCTACTCTCAGGGACAAACACAGCCAACCTCGGTGCCTCCCTGGTTTCTGGTTTCCCCTCCTTCTAACACAGAGGTTGGCCCCAAGGGGTCACTGATGTTCTTCCTCTCAGTGGGACTCTCCGTTTGCACCTTGACTCCGTCCTCACACTCCACTCACCCCACACCCATAGGTCTTGCGCGCATGTGTATACGCATGTGTCTTACCTAGTTAATGGCCAGCAGTGCCTGCCAGCACTTAGGTGGGAAAAATGACACCGCCTATCACAGGAAGCCAGAGGCAGCAAGAGTCAGCAAGGCAGGGTGCTCCAGGAGATAAGGGAGAGGACTGAAGAGGTTGCTTTAAGATCCAAGTTGCACAGGGTAGGGGACAGTTGGGTGTGGGGTCCCAAGCAGTAGATTGTCTCCAAGAAATCTGCCAGGCTCTATGGCCTCCAGAAAGAGGCAGGCTCTGTCTGACTCTCCCAGCTTCCTTTTAACCCCTCTCTCCTCTAGTCTCTTAGCCAGGAGGAAGCCAGGCACACCCTTTTCTTCACCTAAGCCTCCCACATACATTCCTTCTGCCCCACGGCTCTGCTCCTGATGACCCCTGATCAGATAGCTACAGGGAAAGCAATACCTAGCCCTGGTCCATAGAGACCCTGGATCCCTGAGGGAGGAGCTGAGTCTGTTCTTCTGGGTCTGAAGGAGAAGGGTCGAGGCTCAGACTTGAATCTGAGGGAGGGCTGGACCTGGACTCTTAGGTTTGAGGGAAGCGGGCTGGGGCCTAGTCAAGTCTGAGGGAGGAGTGTTGATCCTGGACTCTTGAGACTGAGGAGGAGGAATGAGCCTCAATCCCTGGGCCAAAAGAGGAGGGTGGAGGCTAAAACCCTTGGGACTGAGGTAGAGATCGAAGCTCATTCTTAGTTTTGGATTTGTAGAATCTGAGACATAATCAGACTTGAGTGCTGAGTGCCAGTTCCCAGGTTAGTCAGTGCTGCCCCAGCCTCCACAAGCACCCCACCTATACCCGAGAGGGAGCCTGCAGGATCTCCTCCTGGGTCTGTATCTCTGAGGCACTGGAACCAGCTGCCCAGGTTCAGTGGGGTCAGGCTGACTCATCTACCCGTAAGTCCAGCTGTGGGCGCTGAGGACCTCCATGTCCCCAGGAGAGTGGGAGCTGCCCGCCAGTTGTTGAGAAAGGGTGTTTCGCTAAGCTGTCCCCCACCCCTAACCCGGGCAGGGAAGCAGGATGAGCAATGTGAAGAAAGAGCCTTCTAACAATCAGGCATTGTCTGTCCCCAGAAACCTGGTGCCCAGCAGTGCCCTTTCTCAACCTCGCTTCCAGGAAGGGGCGCAGGCTATCTCACTGACTCCCGGGTGACTAACAGCCCTGCTGGGTCCTCGCTCTGAGTATTTCAGAGCTCTGGGCTCTCCCCTCCAGGACTGCCCACCTTCGGGTTCTGGGGCCACATCGCCCATGTCTGCCTGTCTCTGTCTCCCTCCATCCTGTGTGTATTTGTGTCTCTCAAGCCTTTGCTCTATTATTCTTTTCTTCTTTTTCTCTGACTTTTCTCTGCTGTGCCTGTTTCCATGTCTCTATTTCTCCCCCTCTCTCTTTCTGTCTCTGTGTGTTTGTGTGCTTGTTTTTGTCTGTCTTTCTTTGGGTGCATTTGTCTGTCTGTCCGTCGTCTGTCTGTTTCTACCTGTGTCTGTCTCTGGTTTCGTCTGGCTTTGTCTTTGTCTCACTTCTCAACTCTGTCCCTGCATCTCTTTTTGTCTCTATCCCTCTTGATTTCTCTGTTTCTCTCCATTTCACTGTGTTTCATCTGTCTGTCTGCCTGCCTGCCTGCCTGCCTGCCTGCCTGTCTGTCTGTCTGCCTGCCTGCCTGCCTGTCTGTCTGTCTGTCTGTCTGTCTCCTAGCTCCCTGGACTCTACATATATTCTGCTTCTCTGCTGGCTGTTTCCTTGTACTATTTGGGGGAAAGTATGTGCACTTGGTATGCAGGTACATTCCTGGGGTGTGAGAAGGTATGCATGGTGTTGGGGGCAGCTAGCGAGGGCCAGGAGGGTATGTAGACTCACTGATCAGATTTGCATGTCCACAGAGACACACAGGTAGAGAGACTCTGGCATGCAGGGACAGGAGCAGCCCCAAGGGAGACAAGCAGGAGCACTGGGAAGCTGCGCCATCAGTGGGGAGCGTTAAGGGGAGCGTTACGGGGAGGTGCCTTTGAACTTGGGTCTGAGAAGCAAGAACAGGGCAAGAAGAGAGGATGCAGGCTTGTGTGGGACGAGCAGGCGTTGGTCAATGTGGGCTTCCAGGGAGAGGCTTATGGAAGGTGGAGGGTGGAGGGACCTGGGGCGGGGTGTGGGGATGAAGAGGAAAAATGGGGACATACTAGGAAACCACCAGGCAACAGCAACAGCAAGGATGAATAACGCACCCTTGGCATTTGCTGAGCATGACACTTCCTCTGATCTCCTTGTCAGTTCCCATCACCCTGGTGAGATGTAGTTGGCACTTCACCCTAGGTCTCTTCTTCTTGTGTACCACTATTTGCCCTGACACAGAGTCGGTACCTCTCACACAACCCACGGCCATCCAGCTCTGTCCCGTTGCCTCCCTCCTGTGGGGCCCACTCCTCTCTGTTCCCACGTGCTGGCCCCAGCTCAGACTGCCTCATCCCCCGCCTGAGCACTCTGCACTCTCTGGGTCACTCAGCAGGTTGCAAGATGGGGCTCCCTGCACTTTGCCTGGACTAACTCTGGCCTTGCTTCTCACAAATCTGCCTCAACTCCTCATGCCTCTTGGGACAAAGCCTGTCAGAGCCTGGAGGGTCTTCAGCGGCTAGAGGCTGGAGCATGGCTCAGTTGTAGAGTCTCTTCCTGGGATTCTCCAGCAAGGGGCTGGAAGTGTGGCTCAGAGGCAGACTATCTGCCTAGAATCTCCCACTGAGGGGCCGGGGCATGGCTTATTGTTAGAGGTCCCGCCTAGAATCCCCAGTGAGGGGCGGGAGGTGTATCTCAGACATAGAATATCTGCCCAGAATCCCCTAGTGAGGGATTAGGGGCATGGCTCAGAGGTAGAGCACTTGCCTAGGTTCCCCCGGTGATCATCTGGGTGTGGCTCAGAGACTGAGAGCACGCCTAGCATGGGCAAGTTCCTCAGTTCCATTTCTCAGCATTCATTATCGAGTAGTGCTGTATGCTCTGAATGCAAAGATCTGAAGTAATGGCTATGTTATGCAGTTTTGCTTAACCATTCCACATTGTATGTGTACATTTGTTAAAACCCCATAAAAATATGTCATTTTCCTTTGTTCCTTGAAAGTAAATTTAGGAAAGAAAGAAAGAAAACAGCTAAAAAGACACAGCAGCAATCGGTTGAGTTTGGTGCATAGGCCTGTCATCCCAGCTAGTCCATAGGCTGAGGTGGGAATACTGCAAGTTCAAGCCCAGTCTAGGCCACAGAGAGAGACCCCATCTTAAAATGGAAAGGAAAAAGGAAGTTGGCATCACAGCTCTGCAGTTGAGGTTGACCTAGCGTGCATGGGGCCCTGGGTTCAAGCCCTGGAATGATAAAGTGAAACGGAACAAAATCAGGAGTTTATTCAGTTCCTTTATATAACTCAAGACATTAAAGGTACATATTTAGAATATGAAAGTTATCAAAGGACCCATTTGTCTCTGGTTCTGGTATACAGAGCACTTGGAATCTGATTGGCCTTTTACACTTATAACCCAACTCAGTGGAACTCATTTTATCCCTTCCCCGACTTGAAGGCCCGTGAGCACCCTGGCTACACACTGCTTGGAGCAGCCCTGCCCATCTTTCTGGGCTCCAACTTTGGAGACTACATCAAGTGTCCCGAGTTACTCCATACTCCATGGCCGTGGAGTCTCTGCCTGGTTTCCCCTCTGTTTTATGCTTTCCCTACCTTTCCCTGCCGACCATCTCTTCTCCCTTTGGTCTTTGTGGAACATTGCCTCTTAGAACAAGTTTCCACTGGACACCATCCAACGCCACCTGCCATGATTGGGTTAGTCATTCTCTCGTGTGGGCTTCCACAGGTGTCTCTTTCCAGGTGTTACCCTGGACCAGGGCCATTTGTACCAGTGTCCCTCTCCTTCACTGGGTCTTGAACTCCGCGGGGGCATGGCCTTTGCTGACTCACTGCTGCATCCACAGAGGGCTCGGGAAATGTTGGCCGATGACTACCACAGCTTCATCACATCCACTCCTGTTGCAGATAGGAAAGCTGAGGCACGAGGTAGGGAAGCTCATCGCTCAAGTATAAGCACACAGGAAGTGACAGAGACTGCATTGGCACTCAGCTCCCAATGCCGTGGTATTCCATATAACATGAGTTAAAACAGCAGCATTCCAACATGGAGGAGCTAATCTGACCGACCCCAACATGTATATTCTCACATGTATTCCAACACAGTGTATTCCAACATGGTAGGTTCTAACATTGTTCCAAAATGAAGTCTTTCAACATTGTGGTATTCCAACATGGACATGTTCCAATGGATCAGTGATTCAGCCCATCTCTCTATGATTCCCCAAAGATGACTATACAACTCCTGACTACAACACAAGGTGAGTGGCCCAGGAGGACTCGTCTATGAGGGGAAGGAGGGAACACAGGATTGAGCCTCTCATGGCCTACTCATGCCCACTGCTGTCCCATTGTCTCTACTCCCACACTACTGTGGTGGGACCAGACAATCTTTAAAGAGAGAATGAAGCCCTCTTATCCATGCATGTGTCAGTGACCTTCATTATCTTCCACTGGTCAGTCCATGCATGTTTAAGGGTCTGAATGTTTGTGTCAGAACTGACTTATTCAGCTGAAATCTTCAATAAAGGAAATTTTATGGGAGTTGAACAGGAAAAAGATATGAGAAGTAATGCACACTGAGGACCAGCTCTTGTTGGTGCTTTGTGCTGTGTCTGATGCTGTTCCAGCACTGTGTACATATGAAATTATTTAATCTTTATGATGATGCCAAGGGGCGGCATCTTGGCCCCCCTTAAAGGATGAAGACACACAGATGGGGAAGAAAGGCAGCAGACAGTTAGGTCAGACAGTGCACTGGAGTTGTAACTCAGTGTTAGAGCTTCTACTTACCTGGGGAGGAGGAAATGGAAGAGAAGAGGGGGAGAGAGGATGAGGTGGAAGGGGAGGGGAGGGAGACATTAGGAGAGGAAGGAGAAAGAAGAGACAGAGAAGAAGAGAAGAGAGGAAGACAGACAGGAGAGCACAGGAAAGAGGGGGTACACTGGATCGGGGAGAAGGTGTAGGAGGTCAGGGGAGAGGGGAGGAGACAGTGGTAAGAGAGGAGAGACAACACGCATGGGGTGGGTACTACTGGAAAAATTAGGGTTTCTATTTGGAGCTCTTAGTGTTGTCAATAAAACAATTTAAGAACTTACTTGAGGATAAATTTATTAGAAATTGGGGGTACAGGCCATATATGAAATTATCAAAAACTCAATAAAATATCTTCTTAAAAAAACAGAAGGCAAGCGGCCTAGGGGAGGGAGAGGGAGAAGAGCGAGAGAACGCTGTGATTTTTGCAGGCATGTTCAGAAATCGAGGTTGACAAGCACAGCAAAGTGGAAAGGGAAGGGGCCTTCGGGGGAAAATGGAAAAATCTCTGAGTGTCAGGGAAAGTATACCTGGTCTTTGGTCAGTATCTGAAAGAAAAGGATTGGAAAGCCACTCAGAAAAGCATGCAGGCATCATGAGCTCCTGCATGGAGGAAGGGTTTATGGGAAGGATAAATTCATATCTCATTAAGGGGATAATTATTCCTCTCTTCACCTTAGCGTGCCTTCAGGTGAATCAGATTTCCTGTGAGGTGGACGCCTGACCAGGTGATTGACAGGTCCATCTGGATTAACTCTGAGGAGATAGCAGTCTATAGTAGCCTGTCATGTTCTAATCTTTGATGC